TAGGTGAATATCTAATACAAGTCTTGTAGATATATTTTGTAGATTGTTGTTAGATACGGTCAATGTTTAAAATAATTGTTTTTGAAACATTTAAAAAAATTTTTAGTTAAACGTATGTTTAAATTGAGCTTAACCGAACGTATACAGTTTGCAAAAGGATATTGTGGGTGTGTTTAAATTCTACGAAAAAAAAACCTCATACACACTTGTTAATTCTTCTAATCATTCCCATACTTGACTTGTTACCACACAAACCGTTCAGTGAACTAAAATATTTATAACAAATAAAATCTAAAAACTGAAGAAGGAAGTTTGCGACAACAATGAATGGTATCGGTACTAGTGCGTTATTCAAAGTCTACAATCAATCAAGATACTGCATAATTCAAGACAGAAGTGCAGAGGGGGCTATTGGCAGGGGGGCGGGGGGGGGGGCTCCAAGACAACCCAATCACCCCAATGTCAACACCATTATGCCTTAGTGTGGAGGGGGTTGCACGGAGCCGGGTACACCGATGTTTACAAAGAAGTCTGTTTCCATGGCGACCAGGGTAAGTAGGGTCACCATATCCCCAAGATGTTCACCCTCAGAGAGAAAGGAAATTTTGAAAATACTGTACTACAATTTGTGGTGAGAATACCTAAATTGTAAGCCACCTTATTAGAATTTGGGAAGAATAAGGGTACTTTTTAGTTAATAGTTTTCTTAAATATTGTTTAGAAAAAATACTATCACTATGATGCTCGAGTTTGTTTGATTTGATTCGCTATATAACACGCTGAAGCAATATATCTATGAATTCATATACAATGTATTTACAACTAGTGTATTGAGTTTATACGAATTACAACCATCATGGCTACTAAAATGACATTAATTATTTTTTTTTAAGTTCACATTCAAAATATTATATTTATCCTATTTTCAAAACTGACAACTATACGTTATCTGAAAGGTTTTTACCTGTATTAAATACATTTTTTCAAATGTTACGCTAAAAAATATAACGCTATTTTCCAGGGGATGAAGAAGTCTATGGGGAAATCAAAATAACAGTTTTATTCTGTTGCGTTAATTTATAATAACTTAAATCAGGTGGACTGTTTTATCTTTCACCCCGTGATAACAACATTTATGGAATGTCAAGGTGGTATGAAGACAAAACTACAAATTCCACAAAATTAGAATCTTTAGATCTAGTTCAAGCCAAGCTGTTCGCTGGCAAATCGATTCGTCTTCACAGGTATTGGTTGACTAAACAAATTAGTTCTATAGGTGAGGGATTTGGTCCGGTGTACTACAATAGTGGACTCGAATAGCTATTGTAGCTGAATAGCTGTGAATAGCTGTGAATAGCTGAATAGCTGTGAATAGCTACGTCTGAATAGATGGCTACGTGAAGAAGTGTCAATAGCAGGTGATCGACCGAGTTTGGTCAACAAATTATGATATCGATTCATGTATCTGGATTCGTTAATACTTCATTTTATATTTAACAGCTAACACGGCTACTTTATTAACATTATTTTGATAAGTTTCAGCTCTTGTTTTAGCCAAGGGGATGAATGGAGAAGTCGTCAGTAGTTAAGTTTTATTATTACACAAGTTGCTCTTTTCTTTGCGTTACCCACCTAGCTTTTTAGTTTGGTACCACGATTTTTAATTATTCATACAAATCTTTTAGAGTTTCTATATTTTTAACCCTTTTAAAATTCCAAGGGACTATCCTTTCTTGAATATTTGTGGCGAAACACAAAACCAAAAAATTTAACCTACCAAAACGTGAAAAATTATTAATACTGTAATAAAGAAAATTACCTAACCTTATTTAACCACGATAAACAATTCAAACAATATATTGTCAAATCTTGGTTATAAAGTTGAAAATGTAGCATATAACCACTGACTATAGTCAATATAAAACAGTTTTGCCCTTTTTTCTGTCGATTGTGATAGTTAATTATCATTTCAAAACTATTTATGAATTACATCTTAGAACACCATTTCGATGAAATCATATTCCGCAGCAACTAGATTACCTTACAACACAAACACTCAAGCAGGTCAAGCACTATATTTTACTTGTCCCTAGTTAGAAGAAAGTAAATACTTTGACCTCTTGTATTTACTGTGTAGGCTGTAAACACTAGGTAGAAAACCGTTGTGAGTTTTATACAAGCGTAATTATTAACTGTAAGTCTGTAATCAAAGGTTATTGCGTATACACACTATAATCTTGTTGTGGACCTCCATGCCTTCATATCCCTCGATCCTATTTCCCCCTTCCTACCCTGGTTGGATACACGCTGGTATTAATTTACATCTTTATTAAGCTCATATAAACTCGTAAGCTCGTTTGCTTCTGTGAATGTACCAGAGGTATTTAGTTCAACTCGTCAGGAATTACAAACTTGTCTTGGAGTTTATTCATTACGATATAAAATAGTTAAATTGTTTTTGGGGTTTAAATTTATGTTGGGTTGTTTTACTTTCATGATGAGTTTTTTGTGTAAACCCTTTCAAAAATTGTTGGTAATTAAACTTCAGTTGAACCGTCAAACAATATAAGGGGTTGAACAACCTTTATTTTGAGTACTGTATTTGCTTAATGATACTTATAAATTGTGACATTAAGTCTACAAAATGACCAACCATGACAGATGATCGCAATAATTATAAAATTGCTTTGAAAACAATTTGAATTTTGTAAAAGCTAGTTCCGTTATTGCACAGCAAGTTTAATTGTTATATTTAGCTTATAAATCTAAAAATAGCTTTTTATCGCGATACAGTTATTTTTTAACCAGTGATACCTATTCGGTGGTTAATAGTTTCTTTATAGCCTCAAAACAATATTTTAATTTGATGATTTAAAGCTGTCAACAAAACTTTGTATTGTGTTTTATGTTTTAGAAGTGGTTTGATTTTTATAACTATTTAAAAAATATTCTACGATGTCAAGACTTTCTGAAATGGCGACCCTACGAAAGTATGAATGGAGAAGAGTGTGGTACGATCTGTTAGTCCTTACATGTAGACTTAATCATTCAACAGGCCATTTAGTACAAATATTTCTGACACTAAAACACAGTGAAATATCGGTATTACTAGAGCGAAAAATGTTTACGACCAAAGCATAAGTTAGGAGAAGGGCTGCAACGAAGGGTACCTTGCCCGTTATTCATTTTCCCTGTCTGCTAAGGGAAATAGCGGCACTTCTTAATGTATGACCCTACAAGATCATTTGGCCCAGCTCGTACCTTCATCTTCTGGGGGAATTGCGGCTGACACACATAATACCCGTCTTTATACTTGTTTCAATGAGCGCCATGATTATTTTCTATTTCAGTCTTTTCGAAAAAAAGAGAATACTGCATGTTAAGTATGGAAATGCTGTATAAAATGCCTATGTTAACTATATACGGATGAGTTTTGAGATAGGGTTTATAAAATGCTCTACAATGATTAGTCTTTTGGTTATTACTCCAATTTATATCTCAAATAACGATTTACATAATAAACTTGCCTATATGTCCGAGAGGCAGTGGTTCGAAAATAATACAAAGATGAGGCACTGGTCCGACAGATTTTGCATGGTCAGGCACTGCTCCGAAAGGCAGTACTCAGAAAGGCAGTAGTCCGAAAATGATTTTCGAACCAGTGCCTTTCGGAGCACTACCTTTCGGACCACTGCATGGATCTCGCCTATATCACATGTATTACAATTACACTTAGTACTTTCCACAAGTTCTCCTGAACAATTAAACTATTTAAAAAGGAAAAGATTCTTAACTACCGGTTACTTAGGTCTTCTAATTAATTATTATATTATTTTGGAATTCACGATATACTAAAATTAATACAAAATTTTTTTATTACACTGTATGAAATTGCAGTTCATTGTATTTATTAGACGCAGTGTGTATATACATAAAATTAATGTGAAAGGTCATTCAATGTCGAATTGAATTTATAACCAATATTTACTATAAATTACTACACGAGTTCTGCAATAGACGTCAAACGCATCTGATGTGTTTGACTTTCCTGCATAAAACAGAGCGAAATATTTGCATTAATTTGCTTGTATTATTTATGTAAATGCAATCGCTGTTGTTGTCGTTTTTAATTAATCCGAATACGTTTATAGGATGAAAACACTGAGCTTTAGTCATAAAAACCTCTGTCAGTATTAATTTCGCTGTAATTAGCTGTTCGGAAGTTTCTTGTGTGTTTGTGATAGCTAATTTTATAAAACCCATTTAAATAGTCAGTGCTCCACTGTCAAGTGGTGATATTTATTTATTTAAATGCACTTTTTTTAAGTTGCTCATTGTTATAATGTCAAATTTTTGCCTGATTTATTTTTTACGTCGTAAAAATACATTCTACAGTAATTTTCAAAATATTTATCATCTGCGTGGTTTGTGTATTTTATTCTCATCTTTTTCTCAAATTATGGTTGAAGTGTGCAAAAACTGTCAACAAATAAAAAGTGCCAAAACGACTTTTTCAATAACATGATTCGTTTATTATATTATTCATTTACGTAATACCACATTCAAAGTATAATTGACAGCTCAGAAAGGTAACTAGTTTTTCCCAATTATTCTCAGTGTGAACAGTTACACAACTAATTTCCACACACACTGCTAAGATGCACTTTATTTATTTTTTTTTTCTTAAGAGGTTGGCGGCCTCTTTTAACCTTGCATTTGCCCGCCCACATAGACTACAGATCTGTGCGTGGAACGTATCCAGCAAAGCAAGGAGTGAGCCGGTACAGCACAAAGGTGAATTGTACTGATAAAAGTTAGTGGCGGTGTCCAGGATCCGAACCCACGACACTACTGCCTTGGGCCCGAAGTCCGCGACGCTACCGACTGAGCTACCGACTCACCAAAATTAACTTTAGCAATGTGTAGCGAGAAAGCATACTTACGTACGTCAAATAGCGGATGTTTTCCACATTTATCCTGATGCAAATGTTTGTTTTCAGAGTGTCGCTGAGGTGAAGCCCTCCCGCTGGCCATGCTGTGCTAACATTGGGTCTAGAGGTAAGCAAACGAGGTAAACAAACGCAAGTTGTATGTCTCAGTGTACAGCAGAGTTGTAAACAGAGTTATTCATCAACCCAACGCTTAGGGGAGTGCAGCTGCCCCCCGAGGTTGTGAGTCTGCTGTAAAACCCCTTATTTAATCATAGAAACTAGTTGTCTAAGTACACTAGTGTACAAAGTTGGTAGGTTAAGTATCTCAAAGTGGGTTAACACTCCCTAAGCAGTTTGGTAGTGTTCTACAAGCATTTTAATGTCCATGTACTCATTGTGTACGTTTGAATACGGTAACAAGACCCTTGTTTGGAAGGTTATCTTACAAAAAAAATTGCTTGGAGAAAATACACAGAAACATTTTAAGAAAATACTTATCCATTGTATATTTTCATGATATGACTAAAATGTACACTTTGTGAGTCCCCATGCTAAATTGTCACAGTAAATATTAAAATAGAACCATAGAATAAATCAGGATGGTCTACAAGTTTAGAGATAGTTATAGTGCATAAAGTAAACGTAACTCAGATTAAGTATGTATTTAAAGATTTAGTACATGTACTAGTTTCAGCCAACCACTCTAGGCTTTGGAATTATATTTATAATATTTTCTGTAACAACCAATACCTGTTTCTAATTCCCTATAGAACTTCAAAATTTATTTTAATTTCCATACCATTTCTGTGGTACATAGGGTGCTAGCACATCACAAAAAAATGTTCGGTAAACACTTGACCTTGATAACAAAACGTTCTATAATTTTTAGGCTCTCAATCACCCTATATTCTCTAAAAACTATGAACTATTTATATTTCGTATAACCCCTTTAAATTCAATTTATTTCGTAAACCCCAAGGCTTAAATCCCGCGATAATGTTATCTGTCTGGATTTGTTCACTAATACAAAAGAGACGAAAAGCCAGAACCCTCGTCATCTCAGTACGTGCAAATGCGTCTGAGGTTTCACCCCTTGCCATCCATCAAGCACTAGGGGTGGTAGGGGGTTGTGGGGGAATTGTCAGCCACAGGGGGGAGAGGTGATAAGCCTTATCAGTCGTCCACGCCATCTCCATCGACAACTGATAAGGTCTTGAGGATTTGTGGATCGCGATTACATTTTAATGTATGTATTGTAAAGACAAAGATAAAACAGTAGTCTCTAATCTGCGTTTTAAAGATTGATTTAAAGTCGGGTTACATTTTATTCGATGCTACATGCTACTTTTAAGACTCCATAAATGTATAGATTTATTTATTGCTGAGAATAGTTTCGTACTATACATGAATCAATAATAGTGATTGGTAGATAGATTTGTGACGTATTACCTATAGTTTACTTCTGCTGAAAAATGGAGCACTCAGTGTACGGAGGTTTTCGCAATAAAACTAATTTACTATTCCTAACCGTTATCGCAGGTTTTCCGCATTTTAATTCAACCTTTAGACTTGAATATATTCAACATTTTGCATATCAGGTCAACTGATCTTTGCACAACTGTTTAGAATACACAAAATTCGCAATGCAATTTTTAGTTCCACCGCAGTTTGAATATTAGTACTAGTTAGTGATTCTTTAAGAATATCCGTGTATTCTACATCGTTGTACATTAGTAAAGCTGATCATACATACATCACCTGATACAGGTAAACAAAAAACTATATCTCTGTTTTTACCTCGTTAACATTTCCCAGTAAACCATCATTTTACTAAATAAAAAATTAACAAGAAGACTATCAGAAACCGAAACATTTTATTCATGATTTACAATGTGTCAATACAAAACGGAGTCAAAAGATGGAATAAAAAATGCTTCTCGTTTGTAGCTGAGTTTTAAAAAAATATTTCGTGCTGGGGAAGCTAATTTTACCTTTAATTCTATCAGATCGGACTGAAGAGCTTAGCGTGGTTGCGAATAATATTGAATCAACTTGAGCGCAACAACCAACACTCGAACCTCTCTGTATTGGAACCTCATCTGATCTTTGTTTCTCTTCTGCTAAACCAAATACTGAAGCAATCTATGTTGTTTAGTGAGCTGTTACGGTTTTATTCCTTGTTTCATTCTTTAAGTTATTGTGTAATCTGTTACATAATTACTTACAGATTTTGTAGAATTACTCATAGCCACCTATGTTTATTTGTTCCAACGGACATCCCCATTTTACAACTATAGGCCTACAAATAAAATAGTACAAAACTCAAAACAACTTGCTATAATTTAAATAGTATTAAACGTGTACTTTTTGTTATCTTTTATTGCATTTCTAACCAAAATACCTTCAAAAGATAGGTTTCATCAAACGTTTAGCTACACAACAATTAATTACTTGAAATTTTTTAAAAAATACGTCAAATAACATTTTTAACACGGTTTTATTCTACACACACTTATATACAAGTATATTTACACTTATACTGTTTACTCACAATAAGGTAAATACAAAAGATGGTAGGTGGTGATCGATTTCGATTGGATACTCTGAAGATTGGAGTGTCAAATCGAAATCGATCACCACTGACCATCTTTTGTATTTACCGTCTTGTAAGTAAACAATATAAGTGTAAATATACTTAACAAGTGTTATTTAACGTATTTTTGTACTTTCAGGTAATTTAATAACACGTACGATGCTGATCAAGAAGTTATTCAACTAATTGTATTGCATACCGTCGAACATGTGATGATGAGTGATAGTAGTTTAGGTTTGTTGTTGACTTCAGTAAAGCTAATTGCAGTGGCAAATCAATATTACAACACTGACGAATTATGTTAAATAAATTTACATATATGCATTCATTTAATTTCAAGCGTCTCTCTGAATCTCTGATGCATCAAATGTACAGAACTGGATTCGTCAATAATACTGTACACTGTATGTAACTCATCACTCCTTATAATTTATGATGCTGCGTCAAACACAGCCCCTCGATAAAAAACAAAAACCCCATAACCATAATTTTCACACAACCCCTGCACATAAATATCGTTGGGACGGTGTGAGTTTCAACGCCCCTTGTAGGTGAGTTTTTGAGTTTGAGGGCGCCGAGAGGCCCCTGGGGCCGCCTCGTGCTTGTTTTTTGGAGGGTCCTTCCTCCCTCTCGTTACAAAGGTAGTCAAGGGCTGCTCCGCCCACGTTGACGAATTACTAGACTTTTCACTCCTTACTCCTACACCGCGTACAGTGTGACCGAAACTTACGTTGCAGATTTACAACTTTCCATCTTGTTCACACTGTGCATGTATAAAACATTGTAGGCGGTGTAGAGGAGTATATTGTCAAAGGGTAGCTACGTGATTTAATTATAAGTACTTAAATGACTCTAATGAATAAATAGTAGTCAATAAAACTATTGCAAAAGTATTTTCAAACAGTTAACTAATTAGCACTAGACCATCAGCATTATTAGTCAATTTAGGTTTACGATGAAAAGTGTATGTTATAAATGAGAATTCACTAGTTAAACACGTTGAACTAATAAATATAGTTGTGAAGTCACGAAAAACATTAAGCAGATAAACGTTTTTCGGATTAAAATGGTTTTAGGGAAGTAGTTCAATAAAGCATTAGTTAAAGTATACAAGACAATGCCTTGAGAAGTAATTATATCAGCCAATTAAATTTACAAGCAATGTATAACAACTTAATTTGCGCTAATCATGAATAATAATCCTCCCTAAACGATACTTTTTTGGCTCGATAGTTTCTCTCAATACAAATCAAAGCATTTTAATATTTGCACCAAATATCATAGAATTTCGTGGTGTTATGCCTTAAGCATTCGTCGAAAAACGCTCCCCAAAAACCGAAAAAATATCAACTAAAAGGAACTCTTATTATTCACTAAAAACAGAAAATTTTCCCAAAAATTATTTCGCACCGATTTCCACCTCTGATACGATTCAGCGAGTTTCGCTCCGCAAATAATAACCCTTGGGGGAATGCGTTTTTCAAATTGGCTGTCTTTCAATTTCTAATCTCCCCACGCACTTGTGCTCTTTATGAGAATGCACTCGAAGTAAGGGGAAATATTTCCAACACGAAGACTGCTAGTGAACGTGCCACAAACAATGCTGCTGTGCTTACAATAGCTTCTTGACGCCGTCTCCGGTCAGGTCCTTGAGGATCACCAGGATCGATGGAGTCTAAATAATTGGAGTTGCTGACTTAATGGCGGCAAAGGTGTGAAGATTGAAGGGTCACGTGACGTGTGAATGTGATTGAATGATTATTTGATGACTCATTTGGTGTCTAAAGTTCAAAGGGGTTTGGGATGTTAGAGGTTTGGAGTGCAACAGGAGTTGAAATTGATTAAGTTGCTAAGTAGTTTTTTTTAAGATGGTTTAGTATTTATAAGGTTAAGCTTTGGGATTTTCTGGTTCATTTGTGATGTTTGAAAATGTTGAACAATATTACTTTTTTGGAACATGAGGTAGAATGTTAGTCATCTATTGATTCAGTGTTGTCAGGTAATGAATCTGTAAGTTCTTGATTTAGAAAGTTACATCTTAGGTAACATCTGGAGTTGTTCTTGTATGCAGCATGGTAACGGCGATTTGGATTTTGGGTAACGTGATGTATTGCAACGTATCTTTTTAGTACCAAGTGTACCAGAATAAGGGTGTATTTGAAATTACAAAGATGCAAGAGACTTCTGATGTTAATTTAGAACTCAACAATTTCTATTAGTCTTTGAATTCAAATAAAACTTGACTTTAAAAGATCCTTATTTGAAGTGACTGTCGATGTTTGAGAATCATTTGCAGGAAAATAATTGTACAAACTGCATATTTATTGGCACTATCTCTTTTCCAAGCAAATAAACTGAAGTTACAGCGATGTTCTCCAATTTAAATTTTCTGCTGATTTACTGTAAAAAGAAACTTGTCTGAAATGATCTTTGGTTTTCAATGAACATTCTATTGACTTCAACTTCAAAGCTTGTAACGTGACAAATTGTTTCCTCGGCATCAAACGATTTCAGAGAATCTAGAGATGTTATTGAAGTGTCTTGGTTTGGAAAATAAAATCAACATCTTCAATAACTTGCTTTCAAATAGAGCTGTCTGCCTCAAATGGGTCTGTGTTGCACTTTTTTGTATCGTTAAATGTTTAGCAATTAGCTTTTTACCATTCCTTTGACGATCAGACGTATTCAAATCAAAGTTTTTCAGAAAACGAAGTTCAAACTTATGTTTGTTTGTACGTAAATTTATGTTTATCCTGTATCTATTATTAGGAAATAATATACCTTTCAAGAACCTTAAAAAATAACTACCCATAAATTTCAAATACTCTATTCAATTTAAAGAATAACTAATACTTTTAATTAATTTCATAAATCAAAACTTTGTGGTAATAAACGCCTATTTAAACTAGCAACATTTAATCAAACACTTAACCTTAAATATCCTATCACTGTCCCAATCTAGATGAACTTAGCAGACTGAGGTTCAAGTTTAAGACAGTAATTAAGTGGCTGCATTTAAACACTCAGAGCTGCCAACCGTCCGTCTAGACCAAACTAGAACTGGCGTTGATTCAATCTATTCGTCTCATTGAATGGGTTTGAATGTTTTTTTAGGAATGAACTAAAATATTCAAACTTACACGTCACAGGTGTTTGAGGAATCATTGACCTCTATTAGGTTTTTAACACTCGTACTTCATACATTCTCTTGATACTGTCATGTCTTAGGTCTAATAGTTTAATCAAAACACACTTGCATTTATGTAAAATTTTCTATAACCTGAGAGCGGAGAATTTGTGTATTCGTGAAAACCAGCAATACTCATCGTAACCTAGCTTATCCAAAAAAGAGCTAAAGTAACTAAATAAAAAAATGGACTGCGACAGTTGGTCTAGGTTTAATTGAGATGATGCGAAGTTCCTTTCCAAAGTAATAAAATAACTTTAAGATTCTCAAATTCTTTCTTTTTATGCAGTACTGTAGTTGTTACTTCTTGTATCTTTTGTTAGTACTTTTTATTGGTTCCTGCCTCTGTTGGTGGTTCAAACTACACATTGTTATCTTATAACTGGTCACAGCTTTCAAATGTGAATGAAAGGTCTAGTTCTATCTATAATAAAAGGCATAAGGCACTCCTTAAAAGCATAACAATTAGATTATGTAATATGATTACTCAGAAATTTGAGACAATTTGACACAATCAATTACAGTCTATAAAAACTTTTAAGGTAGTTCTAGGATCGCATATGCTTCACTTTTTTTCTAACTCCAATTACAATGTTCCTCAAATCTCACAGCCTAAGAATTTGTCCTTGAACTCCAGGTTTGTTCCAGAGGAAGGATGCTACTAAGATGGGTGGTCGCCCTGCTGGCTTGGGCCGGTAGAGGGTCGTCCCTGAGAGAGCAGAAGTTTGCCATGGAGCCGCAAGACCAGACAGCAGTGGTCGGAAGTAGAGTCACTCTACCCTGCAGAGTCATCAACAAGTCTGGGCTGCTGCAATGGACCAAGGATGGCTTTGGTCTTGGCACACATCGGAACCTCTCTGGCTTCGATAGGTACATGATGATCGGCAGTGACGAAGAAGGTTAGTTAATTGTTTATTTTTCATTATGATACTGAATTGTTTTTCACAAACAATTTTGAAAAGATCATTTACTTTTGGATTTAGTAGACATCCTATCCGTATGCTGCTGTAGCCAGCCTTTTATTTGAAAAGAGCACAGTTGAATGTGCCAAATTTGCTACGGTAGGAAATTCTGTTTACTCATAATGAAGAAAAATCTACATCTTTGGATTTTTATGATAAAGTATCTTTTTGTGCTTAAACCTTGTTGATGTGACTACTGAACTTTCTGCACAAATGAAACAGATCTTACTGTATTGATCAATAACTTATCTAAAGAAGGCTGCTCACTCCTACATCCTTTTTGTTTCATATTCGTGCCCTGTGTCCAAATCCTAATCAATTACTTGAGAATGTGTACACCCCACAAGTAATAACTTACTATACTTACTTACTTAGTAAGGTATATGTAAATTTTTACCTTTATCATCGTACAATTTTGAACACCAGCTTAGTTCAAATGAATGAATTATTGTGATCAGCTAAGAAATCTTTTACAACATGTCCTCTTCCTCCACCTTATCCTGTTTCCTATTGCAGGTGACTACTCCCTGGACATCTATCCTGCGATGCTGGATGATGACGCCAGCTACCAGTGCCAGGTGGGGACGGGACCCAACGGTGAGACGGCTGTCCGCTCCAGGATAGCTCATCTGTCAGTCCTCACTCCTCCAGAACCTCCCAGGATAGTCCAGACGGACTACCTCCTCACCACGGAGGACAGAGAGATAGAGCTGGAGTGTATCTCAGCGGCTGGCAAACCTGCAGCAGAGGTGAGTGATTCTATTGGTCAACAGTTCAAAAGCACTTTTTAAAGAATTTTAATAAAGTTTAGGGTTTGTGAAAGAAAGGTTAGAATTTGTTGAGTTCCTTGTGATGATGATAAATGGTTAAGATGAAGGTTCATCCAGTGAAAATTTTCCGTATGACTAATTGGCATTTCAATCCAAGTATGAGTCCCGAAGCATCAAGAATGATATATACATCATCCAAATGATGCACTTTGTGATTTTTTTCCAAATAAACATGATTTTTAAATATCAGTTTATATTAAGTCAAGTCCTATTTTATGACTCGAATTTGAATTTTTTTTAACCTTCGAGTATAGATTTAAATAAATACAGTGATTTTGCATTCAAACACTAGACCTACCACGTCTAATAAAAATGTGTGCTTGTATTTCAGATCACCTGGATCGATGGTCTGGGCAATGTTTTGACTGACGGCATTGAGTACATGGTGGAGGCGCTGCCTGACGGCCGAAGGTTCACAGCCAGGTCAATATTGAAGCTGACACCGAAGAAGGAACACCACAACACAACGTTCACATGTCAGGCGCAGAACACAGCAGATAGAACATACAGAAGTGCCAAGCTTAGGCTGGAAGTCAAATATGCTCCTAAGGTACAAATAAGATCTAGAACCTATCTAATTAATCACCTTGTCCTTTATGAGTGAGTACCAACTATCTTTTGCATCTTGCCGGATTTATCAGATCAAATTCACGAACTGCTAGATGATTCTGTTGGAATTAATGTTTTTCCCCACTTTTCCTGATCACAAAACGCACATTAATTTGTTTCATCAAGTCCAGATGCACTATGGAGAGACACAAGAATTTCTTAAGGTTTTTCCTTCCATTTCTGCGACTTCAGGGAACAAATTCCTAACATAAAAAAAGAAGCAGTAGAGAGCATACGCTTCCATCCGAAGGTGGTGGTTTACAGTTTAGTAATGGGTTTATGAAACTACAGTTATTTAAAACACACTTTGTATGTTTGCAAACTACTTCCATATATTGTTTGGCATTTTGTTTTGATATACAGTTTTCCAACTTACGTAATCTATTTTAAATCATTGTAATTTCTTCTATAGTAACTGCCAGAACCTGTTTTCACCAGTTCTAATAAAAAAAAAACTAATTAACATTATATTGCAAAAATGTAAATTCGTGGATTACTCCCATTTACCGTCTTTGCAAGACTTAAGCCTAGAATATTCAGAAATGGAATATTTATTTACTGTACCATGCAAAGAAAAGGAATTAACTCGACATGCAATGTCCCAATCCTTCTCTCTTTGCAATATGTATATTCACAGTGAGCTAGTTTCTCCATTTTTATTTTATAAGTATACAGCCTCTACTGTAATTGGCGAATGTAAATATTTTATTTTTGTTAAGGTTAAAAAATCTTAGTTTTCTGGCTTGGAAGAACCATTAAGTATGTGCAGATACCGGTACTTGCATGTATTTGAATTGAATTCAAAAAGGTATTCAGTTAAATTTAAGAAAATTCTGTCTTATGAGATGAGCAGCTCTAAGGGAATTTACACAAGTCTTGTATGAAAATTTGATAATAAAAGTAATTCTAATCATTCTTTTTCCTTTTTCTTCAGGTAACCGTGAGTGTGGTGGGAAGCATGACTCGGTTAGTCGAAGGTCAGGATGTGAGATTGTTATGTTCCGCTGACGCCAACCCTCCGAACGTCACCTATCGATGGTTCATCAATGACCAACTCGTGTTGGGAGACCCGACTACGGAGCTCGTGATGAGCAACATCTCACGCAAGAACCACGACTCCATAGTCAAGTGTGAGGTCCACAACGCTGTCGGAAAGAGCGAGGAATCTGAAGCCTTGGACATCAGCTGTAAGTTTGTTAAATGTTTATCTTACATTCAACAATATTATTTTGCAGTTTGTACATGTTTATGGGGAAAGGAGTGGGGTGTCACATTCTGCAGTTACTGGGGTACTATAATCATTTCTTCTTAATTCAATTTCTTCTAGTTTATTTTGTAAACAAATACACATTTTAAATTTGTATAGTACCCGGAATTGCTGCATGGAGAGAATTGTGGTGTAAACCATAAAAATTGTGTAGTATAAAAGGGAAATGGAGTAAGGACAATCAAAACATTCATAAATCCATATATTATTCCGGCTCCTTAAATGAAAAATCAATCACTGGAATGTTGTATTTTGCCTCTTTCATAGTAGTTCTGCGTTAAGGTTAAGATCACAATCAAATGCCAATAATCGAACACAGCCAAGTACATTAGCAACTCTCAAATGGTATGAAGATCCTGAAGATCTGTTAGAAGTGCTTTAACCACTACATTTAATGTAACGTCTTTGTCGAACATATTATAGACTGCTTTAGCAATTCCTTGTTGAAAATCCAATTGAAGTTCCAAGTCTCTAAGGTTTTATGCCTTTTTTCAACTGATGTAATACATGTTTATGGTATTTTTGTGTATATTCGTTATTAATAATCTTAGTGGATTTATTATTTTATTTGGTTGGTTAGTGCTAAACAACGGGATTTAAGTATTTGTGTGGCACTACCATAGCACATTCGTTGAGCCATTTTACACCCCTCAATAATTATCCTAGTACTACAATAAATCTTTTGTGTCATGACGCATAAGAACTCAAAGCGTAAACCGGCTATAAGCTTTTCTATTAAAATGCAACTGAACATCCCGCTATTGTATGAAACAATTATAGTCCGGAAATTCTTACCGGAGCAGTACAAAGGCCCAGACGGAGGTATTGTTGTGTCTGTTACTGAGACATCCACTGAAAGCTGATAGTCATTGCAGCCCTTTATACCCGATGAAGCCATTGGGGAAGAAATAGATCTGATAGCCACTTTGAGAGGAAGGTGAGGGTAAATGTTCGCTACAATGTGAGGCTTCATCTTGGATCGTTTACTTCTGCTGTTTTAGATTCCCTTTGTTTCTTAATAGTTAGTAAACACCGTTCAACTCCAGTTTTGTTGGCTCAATGGGCTCTTTCAATTGTTAATTTAGTTTTACTTATTGGCTTTAGCATAAAACTTAAGTTTTTGTCCTTTTTAAAATTATTGGAATTAAGATAAAGAAAGATATCATTGTAATCTGTTGAATTTATATGATAATGTTATATACTATTGTCTGGTCGTACTATCATGTTGTACTTTCACTTTGATTAAATGAACATATAAATTTTAATTAAACGTAAAAGGTCTTCAAATGTTTACTAGTTACAATGACATATTAATTTTTTCGAAATACATTTGGAAGAGGGAGTTTGAATTTAGCTGTCTATTAAAAAGTGTTTTAGCTGTGGGTCCTGTTATTCTTACTGGACTTCTCTGGTGATAATAACTTTCAGAAACTATTTTGTCCCTATAGACGACTGCCATGCAAAAGTTGTTAAGATAAATTACTTGGAATGATGTACACTCCTCTAATGAATTTACTTTGTTGGGAGATATAAAATAATAAACACCAATTAAATTTAAACCATAATATTTTTACAATAATGATACATAAGATTGTAAATGGTTGTAAGCAGAACAAAAGAAAATTCAAATCACACTTAAACGAAATTTTAAATAACATTCACCATTTGGGAGATGATGATTGGAGTTAAATATTTGTGATTTTCCTTACATTAATTTTACACCTAATTTTGCAAAACATAAATGTTTGATATAGCCTAATATCCGTCTAAGAAAAGTTCAAGGAAAGACTGTTGTTTAAAGGTTAAAAAGACATTAAACTCAGAAACTTGATTGCTTAAAAGTATTGTACTTGCAGATGGACCAAGATTTCGGACGAAACCTCGCAGTATGCAAGCAGACCTCGGGGCCTCGGTGACTCTTATATGTGATGTGGACGGAAATCCTCCTCCCGACATTGTTTGGATACACGAAGACTCTGACAGAGTAAGTATAATATTACTATTAATACGGTGGGTTTTGTAAAGTATATAGAATTTTCTATGCATTATCAGGGGTTGAAGCAGGTACAGAAGTACTACAGCACAGAATGAGGTTATTCACAATCACATTATGGACTTTATTTGTGTCTTGGAGGTATCTTTATTGATGTACACTTAACATGGAGAATTAAATCAGCATATTTACTGTCCATCTTGATTATACAAAATGAAAGAGATTAGTCTGAACTATATTGGTGTCTCTAAAGGAGTTTTCTTTTGAGGGGCTCTTAGCGTAAATCTGAACAATTATGTGCGGGATTCATAATCTGAACTGTAGATGTGTGCCCTACAAATATACACTTTTTCTCTCCTAATAAAAAAATATATTATGCAAAAATTATCAATGAAGTTTTCCAAAAAAACCAAAAGCTAACTCGGTTAAAATATGCAAAGTCATATGTGTAGTTAAAAGAGTGCCTACAACCATAAAGTAAATGAAATATTCTGTTGCTTTTCTTTTCTCTTCTTTCACCACTTGGTTTATGTTTTATTTTATTTCACTCCTTCTGCAATGCTGTCTTTCTAAGCAATTGTTGTTCTCCAACAGCGAGGCAATGTTTTAACATTTACGTGGGAACAGGTAGTGAGCACTTCCTCCAACCTCACAATCACGGTAACTCACGAGTCTGCTGGACGATACTTCTGTCGAGCGACAGTCCCTGGGTTTCCCGACATTGGTGCTGAAGCGACCATCTACATGAAGGGACCTCCCACCATCATCTCTCACCGGACCCAGTTTGGGATCCCTGGAGACAACGTCAGATTAGAGTGTTCTGCTTTTTCTATACCTACTCCGCAGAAAGTGGTTTGGAGTTTTAAAGGAGAAGATGTTGGATCCGACCAGGATTATTCGGTAAGATATAGTTTTCACCCAATAAAGTTCTTAAAATTGGTTTCAAACTTTCAGAAAAACTTACATTGCTAAAGAGTAATAACATACTAAGATATACTTTTTAAACTAAGTCACAGAGAAGGAAGGTAAAGTACAGAGGAAACATTCAATGGTACACTTCAATGGTGTCCGTGGTGTCTAGCACTAGTCGCTGGTGTCTAGGGCAAAGTCCAAAGTCCAACACCGTGCCCTCACCCTCATATACTACAACACTCACCCTGGAGGAAGTCCCTGTACTGAGTGTCATAATAATTTATTTTTTTGTGCTTGCCACTAAGGCTATTCCTTGCTCTTCACAAGTATATTTCTCACACAATATACTAGAACTGAAAGTGTGTGGTTGTCCTCTGTACCTTACTTCTCTGTGACAAAGTAAAGTAAATTGTGTAAGAACAGAAGGAAATGCAAATTTGAAGCAAGTGAACATTAGATTGAAAGTATATTTCTTTCTTTTTTAAGTCTTCTTGAGTACATAAAATTAATAAAACATTATAACACAAAAACAATGAAAAAAACAGATATTAAATTCTAAAAAAAAACACACTGATACATAAATGTTTTTCTTGTCCTGATGTTGTAAGAGTTTGCTTATTTTCTCCTAATTAATTCCAAACATAGAGACAGAGCAAAACAATTTTTGTGATCGAGTGTAACTTTTGACTCTTTAATATAAATTCCAGGTACTAGAGGACCCTCTGACGGAAGGTATCAAAAGCACCCTGATAATCCGAGAGTCAAGACTGGAGCATTTTGGAGTTTACAACTGTACAGTGTCCAACCCTTATGGCAGTGATGTGGTGGAGATCACACTTAAAGCTCAGAGTAAGTAGTGAATTTACGATTACACACTCTATTATTCAAACAAGCGTCATAAACTAGATTGAGTAAACATACTCAGGAGTAATGGAGAGCAGGTGTATGAGCGTAAAGTTGAAAGCTACTTAGCACATAAATGAGTATAAGCCTTTGTACCATGAGGTTATAAGCTGCATTATGATCCTACACTTGATCTTTGATCAATGCCATCGTATTGGTCCCTTAATTCATCATGACACTATTGTTTTATCATGTTCAATTACAAAGGGACAGCAACATATGTAGGCTAATCCAAATGATAATGGCCGTAAGTAGGATTATTGTGTTACAGATTAGGTCTGTATTGTACGTATTGATTGGATCTGCAATACAATCCTGTATGCATCGGATAGAATCCTGCAGAATTGTTCTATCCTTGGACTGGTTTGGTTGACTGATCCAAATACCAGTGAAACATGAATACTATTACTTACTTGTTTTTGTAATATAACTAGTTACTGGAACTGTTATATCGGTAACAAAGCTGATTAAATGACTTAAAGATGTATCTAGTCAAACTGAGGAATATCAGATTAATGAAATCATTTCATAAATTGAATGAATGACAGTTGTTCATTTCGACAATTTCATTTTTGTGTTAGCCTCCATATTACATCGAATAAAAGAATTGGTGTACCTGCTTTGATGTAATCCAAATTGTTGCTAATACCACAGTAGTTTCAACTTTCAAGAACTCATCTTCATGCCTCAATGAATGTTTTCATCAGGAATTTTAAACCCAAAAATAACCTGGAATATCATAGACATTATAAATCCATCCGTTCTTATAAAACATCATGTTTTATTACCGGTACTCATTCTAAAATTCCATTTTTTCTAAAATTTTTCAAAATTGTTTTAATAAGATACAATAACAAAGGGAGATCTACATAGTTATGAGAAACAACTTATGTCTAGCCCATATAATGTCACAGTTGCTACTATGGATAGCTCGATTCACCATCTATATTTTTTTGTTAATTTATGATCTTCATGTTCCAGAGAGTTTTCCTTTGCTCCTGATCCTGACAGGAGTGCTTGGAGGAGTCGTAGTCATTGTAGCTGTTACAATGGTTGTGATTCTTTGTCAGCGGAAAGTTAAAAAGCCTCAAGGTAAGATACTATATAAAATTATACAAAATTATACTTACAACAATTGTACTTAAATTATACAAAATCTAATAAATAATGTGTTTGGTTAATTTTGATTGTTAGTCTTCAGTTACTTTAAGTTAATGTAAAAAACGGAAGGCTGTGTTATAATTTTATCTCAAAAAGTTCAGAAGGCTTTTAAAACTTTTTTTGAAGGTGAAATTGCATTTATTTAAATCACATAATCAGATATAATTTTCTATCTATTACTGATATTACCAATTATTGCTTATTATTATTTCATATGAAATTGTTATTGATTTAAATAAGGAAGTAGCTGAAGACTGTTGGCAATAATGCATACACTAGGTGTTCCGTTATTGTTTTTCTGTTAAACCAAGACACTAGTGTAAAACAGTGAAAAATAGCATAAGTAACTAAAGTATCATACAAACCAACTAATCTACCCTACCTTAACATTTAATATGCACATTGTAAGACTTTTCTTGCTTTTTTCATGCAGCAAACCATTTGGAGTTACAAATAAAACCTTACTCAGGTAATTTTTGACCTTTCTTAAACGTTCTCTTTGCAAGTCAATCCACAGTAATAAATGTTATTTTATGGTGTTTTATGTTAGACACTCTTAATGTTAAGGTAGGGGTCACTCAAGACTTGCTGATATGTTCAAATATGTTATGTATTTTAGCTTTATCCTTACTCAACATAGTGTTAACAAGACAAAGGACAATAATCAACAAAAAAATGTGTTATGAAATACACTACACTTTGAACAGTCAAAAATTGCCATTACATTACCCGTACCTCTATCACAAAAATTATGTAAAAGGAAATTATTCCTCATTTCTTAGTCGAATAGAAATCTTAATCTTATGTTGATTGCCATTTGTGTAAATTTGATTTAAGGATTCTGATAGTGGGTTCAAAAAACTAAAACTTGTGATTATTCAAAGCGTATTTCAAAAAACTTAACTTGTGTCCTACATATTCTTATGTATGAATAGTATAGTCAGACCCGCTAATGCATGTGTTAAGAGCGTCATGTTCAATAAGCCTTTTTTTCTTATTAAATATCAAACAGCAATACAAGTCAGTTCTCATAAAGGATGTTTCTATTTGCTAATTAGTGTGAGATATTGTGAGACTTAAAACTCATTGAGTATTTTCCTAGTTTCAAATTTACTGTGTATATAATTGAAATACAGTTCAATTTTTGAAGTAGTTTATCAAAACTTACTCACCTTTTCACATTTCTTCCTAAAGTTGAAATTCCTCATCACAAAAACACAAATCGCATTAGTGTTTGTAAGTTAATTATTTCAAATTTAACTCTACAAAACTCAAGTAATACACAATATGCTTTTAACAATCCCTCGATCGCAAACATGTTCTAAAAGTGTAACTGTTCCTAACCAATCACAAACATGTTCTAAAAGTGTAACTGTTCCTAACCAATCACAAACATGTTCTAAAAGTGTAACTGTTCCTAACCAATCACAAACATGTTCTAAAAGTGTAACTGTTCCTAACCAATCGCAAACATGTTCTAAAAGTGTAACTGTTCCTAACCAATCACAAACATGTTCTAAAAGTGTAACTGTTCCTAACCAATCACAAACATGTTCTAAAAGTGTAACTGTTTCCAGCAGACAACCTGGATCCAGAGAAGCAGTGCAAAGAGAGCGACAGATCGTCCAACATCTCGGACATGAAGCTGGAGCTCCGGACAGGCTCGTCTGTCAGCAATGTCCACTGTGAGTTGGACTACAGCGGAGGACACGAGAGTGAGACGGGTAGCGAGAGTGTTGTCACTAGGATAGGTCTACCTCTCGCAGGACCCGTGCCTTTGGATCACAGATACTCCCAGCGCTTCTCCTCCACGGAGTTCCCAGACCCTGTCTTCCCACCTAAGACTGTAAGTAAATAATTCCGCTTTATTCATTTTCATTCAGTCCCATATTATTTTAAAACCTAACTGTTTAACAAAAGTAGACAGTTGGCAAAACAACTGTATGTTATTAACACATTTAATACCAAGTCCCACAAGGCCCCTTCGGCCCTTCATACAAAGGAGTGTGATGGATGGTAGGCAATGTCTTAACACATCAAATTTTACCCAAGTAGCAGATACATTCTTTAGGGAAAAAGCCAGTCTGCTAACATAAACATTTACTTTGTTACGTGAGGTTATCTGGTAGCCGAAAAACTATCCAAATTTACCACTAGGCCATAAAACAAAAGGGGCTGCAGCCTCAAGGCCCCTTCATACAAAGGAGTGTGATGGATGGTAGGCAATGTCTTAACACATCAAATTCTACTCAAGCAGCAGATACATTCTTTTAGGAATAAATCCAGTTTGCTAACATACAAATTTACTATAGGTTATCTGATAGCCAAAAAACTATCCAAATTTACCACTAGGCCATAAAACAAAAGGGTCTGCAGCGGTTTGTTAACAAAATATTTCGTAGAATGAAAATGTAATAATTTGCAACTATCGGGGGTGATGATAATGATGTCCGCGGGATAACGGGAGGTGTTATGATTTTTGCCACAATTGTAAGGAAGTCGAGCCTTTGGAGAAAGGGTATTACAGTTTATTGGGCCGAGGACTCCCAAGTACCCTAAGTGCAGCTTTGTTCGAGCAGATGCGCATGCTGAGCAAAAGAACCTTCTCCCATACACCGTTGCTTTTGTTATTTTGACCAGTCATTTAACATTTAATTGCCACCAAATAAATTTATTTTCAGACTCAAATTGATGGTCACCAAAGCAACTATACTTTAACTAATGAACTTTTTCAGGATGGCCAAAACAACAATGGTTATGTTCCTTACGTGGACTACGCAAGAGACTACAACCCCCCTCCACCACCCACCTCTGGGGCACCAACAATCCAGCCAGCCAACGGAGGAGTGGGGGTAGACCCGCGGTACTCTGCAGCGTACGGCAATCCTTACCTGCGCAACGCAGTTAGTCCGCAGCTACCTCCTCCAACGGGGCCTCCCCTGGCGCCACCGCCTCCACCGTACTCCGCAGTACGCAACGGCGCAGCGCCACAAGTCTCACGACTACCTGCCTCGCCTACGTCGCAATACATTACCTCACAACAAGCGACAATCAAGAGAGGGACGTTAGCTACGCATGTATAATACTAGCAGCCCGTGTGAACATTCTAGCCAATGTCACAGAACCGGAGTGCTCGATACTCGCGTGTACAGTGTAATATAATAGGTATATAAAACTCAAACGAATTCTTATAGTGGATCAGACGGAATACGAGGCTCGATGTGTGATGTTTACTTATAATTTTACGTACCTCTCTAAGCAGGATGGACGTAATCTTGGTTATTTTGTACCTTCGTTTACCTGGGACGGATTTGTAGAGGACATCGAGTATGTAGGATGAACAAATATCTCAATGCTCATAGGACTTTTAGACTGATTCAGGTATTAATTTAGTCTTAAGATTCCATAGCAATTTGGTTTCTAGTGTTTGTATGTTACGAACTCCTTAAATCAATTGTGTGTGCTGAGTGATTCTGCTTATAATTTTAAAATTGGATACTTATGTTATGATACATTAGTTATTTTATAAACTTTTCTAAAAAATTTCAGATGGATGCGTGTTTATACTTATAACAAGTTAGGGACAGTAATAAACCTTAAAGCCACTATATAAGTTCATGAAAACTTTGAATAGAAAAAGTAAACCATAATTTCTTTACCTAAAATTAAGTTTTAACTCACTTTGCACTTTATCAACATATTTTCTTGCATACTCTTTTGATTTCATACAATGAACCATTTATAATCTACAGATTCAAAACTCTGAAATGTTTAACATTATGAGCACTAGCTATGATTTTAAAACAGCTTTTGTGTACATTTTATTTTTCTAGAGTACTGTAGTATAATTATTACAAGAATAACTAACAGTGAATTGAACTATGTGAGGCCTTATTTGAAGAGGTAAGATCTCAAAAATATAAACCAAAGATCGACTTACATTTATCAGAAAATTACAGCTAACCTCCAAAAACAATCATATCAACATAATTATATTTTTAGTTGTGTTATGTAAAGTATATTTTATTGTTATGTTTTCTATTTTTATTTTAATGAAAATAGTATTTGTATATTTGTTTTATATTTTACCACAGTTTTATATCTACTTGTGCCCTATCTACAGCCTGTATATACATTTTAAGATATATTTTAATGTCTGAAACCCTTCAAACTTTTTAAATCAGCATCTCTTCATGAAAAAATTCTGTCATTTCCTGTTAATGTAGATATCCTGGTATTTAATCGCAAAATGTTTTATTATTTATTACCTTGACAGCTTGTTTACAAACTTACGCTTCTTTATGTGAATTTGGAAGAAACTAGTTCTGTTAAGTGGTACCAATGGTCTTTCATCATATCTCAAACTATTTCCTGACTTGAATGTGTCCACGCCCGATCTTAACATCACTTGCTGTTGAAGTGTCAATTATATGTGAAGCTTGTGTTTCCCTGTGTTGGGAGTCAGCGAGTATGTGCTTACTCGCTTACTCACCGGACTTGTATCTAACAAGTGAAATTTGATTCCTGCCTCTTACCTCCCATTGTGAGAACTGTGATTTTTTACTGTTATTAGTTTTTGTAAAGTCATAGAGATAATGTAAAAATGAGCCGTATAAGATATGTCAATATTGTATAGTTGTTTGCTACTCTTTGCATTTATACTAAATCGAAGTGATTATTTTCTTAGTTTCGATTTATACCTCTCATTCATCTAGTTTAGCTTTAGAGATTGTATCATCTAGATAAAATAGTAAATATTTGGCATCATTCTGTACTTACTTTATGTCAAGGCCTAAAACAATACAAATTTTTCATTTTTCGTTTGAAATTGTTGTTTATAAATCAAAACCAATTAATGGGATGCAATTAAATAAGGAATTAACGTTACTTCAGAAAGTCAACATGTCTGTTACATGGAAAATTGAAGTTGAAATATAAAGAATACCTACCATTATTTTGAAATTGTTTAAGGTATGTGACAAAATACCGTTTTGAGGGTATACCACCGTTCTAGGATTTAATAAATTCATTTCGTTGGCATTTAGACCTCAAACAATTATTTTAAAAGCATTATATATTTAGAAGGTATAAATGTGTTCCTAAACATTATAAAACAACAAATTTATAAATTATAAACAACACTTTCTTAAAATTAAATTGTCTAAGTAGGTATTTTAATAATTGTAAGAAAAAAAAATTTGAAATGAACCTTGATAAGAAATATCCTTTTTTAAATTATATATACATTGATCTAGATTATTTACTCAAATGAAATATATAATTGATAAAATTGGTTTGATTAAATAATTGGTTTGAAATCATTGTGTTTACAACATACTTGCTTTCAATGGTGAATTTTCTGAAAGTTAAACAGCTGATTGAATATTTTGAACGTTTCAAACTATTGCTCCAGTCTACATAGATGTAAGATTATCTGCCACTAAGGTCCTTCATCTTCATATCGTAACAGTAAATCCTAAAATAGATAAATTACGTTATCCTATTTTTATAAAATTAATGCTCAGTAATTGTTCAATATCTATTGAAACTTTGTTAGATTTTTGTAGACTCATGTACAGTACTAGGCCTACTAAAGATCTATCTTTTGTGATTAAATGTAGGCCTAACTCAAAGTTGTATAATAAATTGTCATTGTATGAAATGGTTGGTTTTTGTACCCCACGTCCCTTCAATGGTTATCAGTAAGTAAAACAGTTATTGAGAAAATGTCATCAATAAGTGTGATATGAAGTATTTTATCATTTGAAATTCTTTTTTTAATTTGAAATAAATCCCAATGAGCTTTTTTAGGTATATATAATACCTTTCCAATTCTTCATTAAGAACTTATATAGATAGAGGAAATGGTTGAAATGGTAGGTTGGTTGGTTGGTGTTATCAGCATATTTTCCATAAAGGGAAAAATATCTAGGAAATATTTTTTTTTTTCCTCAAACTTAAACATTTTATGAAATAACTGTTATACACACAACATACAAAACTTTTAAATAATTCAAACACTTGGTGAAGTAATTTTGTAATTTGCAACCCTTTTTGACAAAAGGCTTTATAAACCTAACAGTTAGGTCATCATTATTACAAACAAAATCAAACCCAATCAGTTCTTTACTCTCTTTGAACTTGTTTACATGCAATCAACATTGTCAGTGATCGAAATATGACATTTTCCAACTATCGACAATATTTGAGTATTGTTGATATTTTATGATGGTGACAAAGTTGAATTATAAAAAATACAAATCATTGTTTTGCATTGAATTAGTTTTGAAAAACCTATTCACTTTGTTATGTGTTTTGGCACTTTTTGACAAGCAAAACAAGATGCATTTTTGTATAGAGTAAAGTCTATGGTGAAGCCATTATAAGCATTTTGCCATACTTAGTGCAGTGAGTCGATGATTATTTTCCATACTATACCTTGTAAATCTTAATCTAATAAGGCTAAAACATACAATACCAACGCTATTTCTATGAAGAGTTTATGGCTAACTAACCCCCTTTTATTAACTATCCCTTATTCATTTATACAATAAACTTTTCTTTTACTTCATATTCTAAAGAATACTTTCCTAAAAAGTTCTGTCCTGCATGGACAGTCTTCTTTAGGCCTAATAGATATTCTTTGTAGTTCAGGCCTACATTACAAAAATGTTTTGTGAGTGTATTGCAGTGATAAAAATTCAATTTATTTGATTCGTAGTCAAAGTCATGTCGTTATTTTTAGCCTCAGATGTCCACTAACAATATGCTAAATGAAAGTAATAATACAATTTTATTAACTTTAAAAAAATTCGACCTAACTTAAGAATTTTTCAAAATCTAAAATACCATCGATTTTAAATGTGCGATTGAGTAAGAAGAATTTAAGAAAACTATTGATATAAAGTTACATTTATTTACATATTTATTCAGTTATGTCATTGCGAGTATAAATGATTTACTTAAAACATTTTAATTGGTTTTACAAAAATATAAATATAAAAACTAACCTAGAATACTCCCTATAAATTAAAAACAAGTTCAGTTAAGATGTTGAATGGAGAAAGGTGACATCGTAATTTATAGGACATTAATTGGAATAGGAAGATGTTTTTGTACCTTTAATGCTATTGTGGTTATGACAGAATAATCTCCTTCCCCACTTTGTCTAATCACTTAGCTTGTAAATCATCATTTCTTGAGTAATTACTTAATATTTTATGCATCACTAAACACAGTTTAGTGATTGTTGATAGCAAGTCGATAGCAGCCCAGTACTCTGTTGTCTCATTAAACTTCAGTTAATTTTATATAGTAGTTTTATTATGTTATAACTTGGGTAGTATGAAGGTTCGAATTACAAAAAACAATGTTTATGAGGATATACATTCTGATAATATGTTTTGTGTCTTAATCTTCTAACCTTAATTTAATTGGTTGAACAAATTGTAAATATTTATAAAATAAACCATTTCTTACAGACAAGGCAACTTGATTTCTATAAATATATCATATTAAAATAACTTACCAAAATTGAATAAAAAGGTTTAAATTACAACAATAATTCTTGAAAACAATGAGTTCAGTTATTCTAAAAAAACGGTAAAATTGAAATACAGTAAAGTGAACGGTGTTAAGAGAAAGATTTTCATTAAGCTGCCTTGTAAATGAATTTTAATAGGCACATTATTTTATCTATTTTTATATTTTTTAATTCTATCTTTATCGAGCCACCGACAAACTAGTGATAAAATTTAATTTTTGCATTACCAACCTACGCATATTTAAATTTTATGTAATTTAAACTGACTAAAATAAATCAATTAAAACACTCAACTTAAAATTGCTGTGGAAAAAGGTTACAGTTAATTTTGTCTGCCCGTAACGACAGTATAAACGTGTCTTTCCTGTCTTAATGTTATTTTATATAACATAGAATACTTATAGGTGTATTATTTCATTTAGTTTATATTCAAACCAAATTTCAAAATACTGCAAACATAAATTAAAAACTAGTTTTTTTTTTAATATAGATATAATTATTTTTAAACATCGCCTATTTTTTTTAATAGACGAAACGTTTACCTAAAATGACTCTACGCAATAAATCTATTAAAATAAATACACTTTTTGTATATATTTATACTTCTCAGAGTTTTATTTTAACTACTGTACAACTAAGCTAATACGAGAACAACGGTCAACCAAACAATAAACATATTTTAGTATTGCAACAATGTAAGTACCAAACCAAGATCTTAGTCACAACTGTCATAATTAGGACTCAAACTATCTAAGTTGTATTGGAACATAATTTTAGTTTGGTTGGTAATATCGGAAGTGTTTCTGTTTAATAGGATTGCTGAACACTTGTAGTTTCACAGATAGAAATATCTTAAGTTGTTATTTTAAATATTCTATATTAGGGCTAATCGTTTATAAACTTTAATTCACTTTACAACAACATTACAACAGGTATTTATTACTCTAGTTGAACTACATGTCACTTAAATTCGGTCTACAGATGAATATGTTTTACAATTGTAACTTAAATTAATATGCCGTGTGTCTCAAAAGTCCCACCCCCTGTTATTATGTTGACTAAATGAGATGAAATTATAATATTCAGGGAATGTTTTTATGATAAAAAAATGAAGTTTTGGTTTATAAATATTTTCAACCCCCCCCCCCCCCCCCCTCCCACCAAAGGAGCAAGCGTTTGGAAGCAAGACAGAATTTTCAAATGTAAACCCCTATCGAGTTAAGGGCATAAAAGGTCATAAAAAATAAAAAGAATGACGCAAACTTGAGGTATCTACGTCAATACTATCAAAAGTTATGGACAGTTCAAAGTTTTAATTTTCCCCCCATTTTTTAGAAAAACACGTTTTTGTAAAACGGTAAGATCCATAGCAAAGAAAGATTTGTAAAAAAAAAGAAAGATTGGTAAACATTTGAAAGAATTTTCATGGTCAGGATTTTAATTTTCTACAAAACCATCTATAGCGTTTTCCGAAAATCACACTCCTTCACCTTAAAAAACACCAATCTTCTAAAATTTGTAAAATTTCCCGGGTTTTGACCTGTTTTAATTGAACAACGAGCCGTAAAAAAAAACTTTATATCTCAAAAGAGGGGGGGAGGGAATTTTAAACTTTGAACTGCCATAAGGGTTACATTTGAAAATTTCGTCTTAACCCAAAACTACCCCTTTAGGGGAAGGGGTGAAAATGTGCATACACCAAAAACTTCCTTTTTTGATCATATACAAATTCCCTGGATATTATAATTTTATTTCTATTAATAAAGACAAATAACAGTGGGGGTGGTACTTTTGGGGCACACTGTATAAACTAACTACAAAGTGTAGTTTTATTTATGATTTTCGTTATTGCTTTTGGAGAAAGATTTAGGAGAAAAATACTTTAAGAAAGTGGAACCCTAAAATGATATTAAAATGTTTTTAAAAAATCTCACTAAACGCGTAAACAAGCTTCATCAAGCAGAAATGTTCGTACTTTGTCTCTAAGAACAATTACTTAACACATATTTTTGTGGATTTGAAAAAAAAAAAACAAATTAAACTAAAATCTCACTCTGAGCCTCGACATAAGCTAGCCTCGAAGGACCTACACTTATGTTTATATTAGCGTTGTCATGGCAACAGAGACGCCACGTATGTGACTTAGTTTAGTATTTCAGGGTTTTATAACTTACGTTTCGTCACCACATGTTTGTCATGGATAAAAGTTAAATATTATAATTATTGTTTATTATTAAAGATGTGTTCAATTACATTCGATGATAAAAGATATCACGAATTAGGTAGCCTATTATCTTACTACTGCTAATGTTTTGGTTAGCTGCATAGTAACAAAAAAGAAGTGTAGATATAAATTTGTATTTATAAGCAATTGTTTTGATAGGTGTTTTGATTTAAGTTTGAATATTAAAAAGAATATGGGAAGGGCTATACATATCTTGAATATGAGAAATCGTAGAATCATTTTCATCCATCAGTATACTTATTGAAGTACAACTGTGTTCTTAACTTGACTACCAGACTACTATTTTATTGACATATAAATACAGTACAAGCAAAATGGTCTTTAATGCCCTCACATAAAATTTTAA